GATTAATTTTAGGTGATACAAACAACCGTTAGGTGAACAAAACTATTATACTCTGTAGCAACAGGTTGCGAGAGTATAAAAATATATATATATATCAATTCAGGTACACTTCAAGGATGGTAACTACATTAACAATATAAATCGAAATAATCACCTTAAATAAAAACCATAATAAATATATATATATAACCATATACAATTCAATTGTATTCGTTAGCAAATATATGAAAAAACAATCTTCTTTTATTATATAACAAATATATATATAAAAAATCGGGTACAATTCATGAACAGTAATACTATACACTAGAACCACGAACTGGTCAAAATAACAGGTTGCATGATTTATTTATACTCTATCTTATATATCTATTTATCTTCATTCCTATTTAATATTTGACATTAATGTCATGATTTTTATTAATTTTCCGAGAGAGAGAGACTTATTTGAAATAGGTATATGGTAAATCTTCGTAGTTTTAGTGTTAAAGTTATAAATTTTTAAAAGACAACACGGTAACATATCGTATCAGATTTGAGACATTTGGACGTTTAAGTAGTTGAATATTAGTAGGCAACCCGTTACAAGAGTGATTTAGTAATAGATTTGTGGCAACCCGTACCAACGTTTTTGCGTGTGAACTAGTGAAAATCTTATGATTTATACAATGGTATCCAGTATTTACTGTATTTCCAAAAAAAAACCCTTAATGTATACTTTGAAATTAAAAGCAATGGGAATAAATGATTTATTTAATTTAATACTATTTTCTACAATTATATTTAGTGCGAATAAGTATTCAACAAGTATACACCCACAGTATATTCTTTTAGAGCTGTCCGATTAAGCTTTTCAAAAGCGTATCTATACGTAGACATGGATGTACGCATTATTGTAAATATATGGGTTAGGACATGAATTCTCGAAACAATATAATAAATAAAACTCATATTAAATTGACTAAAACCACTGAAAAACTACTCGACTTATTTATTACTACCAATAAATACTCTATCATATTGCCTGAAAACATCCGGATTCATTTTCACTGTGCTTTTTTCCACCAAATTACGAAAAGATTTAAGAGTACGAGCTTCGGATTTTAATGTCTCTTTCTCTTTGCGTATAAATATTTTCAACCCATCCTCAGAACTATTTTCTTCTTGTAACCTATCCCCGTTTGCATCAACAATATGAACAACTTCATGTTTCATTGTCTGTTTAACCTGACTTCGAAGTCGGTCATATTCAAGATTCAAAAGCTTCTTCAAGCCTGCTGAGAACGTCCGTACTTGTTCACAATTTTTTTCTACTATCTCGGAGAAATTATCCGTTTTTGTATATTCATCATACTTCGCGTCATTAGGGGTATTAGTATTATTTTCATTTTCCGTATCTAGCACCATAACAGCTTGCAATGATTCAGCGTATATTTCTTCCGTCTGACACTGTTGTCCAGCAGTAATTTGTTGAAAATTAGTAGGACCGAAATTACCATCGATATCATAAAACTTATATCCAAGCATTTCAAGAGCTATTTCAGTTAATAAGTATGACATTGGACAAAATTTTTGAACGTTTTTTCTGAATAATGAATAAAAAAATTTTTGCAAAATGCCATAAACAATAAAAATTTTTGTTTTCGATAAAATTCATTTCTTACCCGATTATTACTAACACAGTGTTAACACGGAAAATGTAAGTTGAAATTCTTTGTCAATTTTCGATGACAACTTTCCCATAGACCAAGAATTATAGAACACAAGATTACGCCAACCGCCATCTTGTGACGTAATTCGTTGAAACTTCAGTACACCATCCCAATATTTAAGGGTTAAAAGGGGTATGGTTGAAGAGATGAGATTCTCCAGATAGAAGATGTTTCTTTTATATTATGCACTTATTATACACTTACACTTCACTACAATGTTTCTAAATATTTATTTTGTATTCATAATTTTAATATTTGGTTTAAATAAGGGGTCGGCTTTAGAATAACGTCCCACGCTTTCGTGGATAAAATGGGTATGGGCGGATAGAGGAGATCCTCCAGATCAAGAATATATATAGATATAGCCGCGGGAAACTTATAGTTTTCGAGATATTTACGTTTAAAGTTGAAAATTTCAACTATTTAAAGTACTTATTTTTGCGATTTAAAATGAATTATACACTTATATTTTTCACTTTTATATCCACTAACACTTGACTAATTCGTTTTTACAAATTTTTTTTNNNTTGATACACCCCGGTGTTGGACCGACCAGGGTTATTTTTTTGGAGCGCGGCCGAAGGCCGCCAACGCAAAAAGAAGTTCTACAAGAAAAAAGGATTATTGTCATAGAGGGTATAACATAATACTTAACATCAATGCTTTGTAATAGTTTATTTCTCTAGGTTTTGGATTCCTGCATTTGGGGTATTATCTGTTTTAATTTTTTTCAGTTCAATTACAAAAGATGTCGATAAGGTAACACTGGTTATTTGAAATTTTGCAACCCTTTTGTTATTGTCAGAGTTAATAGAATTTAACAATAATTTAATTATTAAATTAAACTATTTTTGCACTATATAATGTAAAAAACATGTGTACAAACGAATTAGTGAAGTGTTAGTGGATATAAAAGTGGAAAATATAAGTGTATAACTCATTCGAAATGGGAAAAATGCGTACTTTAAATAGTCGAAATTTTGAACTTTAAACCCAAATATCTCGAAAACTATAAGTTTCCCGCGGCTATATCTATATATATTCTTGATCTGGAGGATCTCCTCTATCCGCCCATACCCATTTAATCCCCGAAAGCGTGGGACGTTATACTAAAGTTTTCCCTAACTAAGCATTTTATTTTTACACAATTTTTGTTATATGCACAATAACAAATGGGTTCCATATTGACAGATAATAACTGTTGCCATATTTTATATATATATATATAATATTGTGGCGAAAACGACTACCAGAACAAATCAGAATCGACGATAACCTGCTTGAAGCAACTAGACAGCGAATTCGTAGTTCCCATATTGTTCTAGTAGCGAATTTTTGTTAAAAATTTACTCTATAAGGGTTGCCGGATGGTACAGCAGACCCAGTTTTAATTAGAGTGTTGCCGTGTAAAAAGCAATTAAGCTATAAGCAATAAGTTGTAAACTTGAATATCGAGCAATAAGTGTTAAGTTGTTGGAATAAAGATAAGTGGGTAGTCATTAAATTGGGACTTTAATTTAACAATCTATTGATCGAACTCAAGAGTGAGTTACAGGTAGACGATTTATCGAGAAATCCGTTACAATATCTATATATTTGCTTACGTGTTTCCCCAAACGTTTTGGACTATTATTATTTATTACAAAATGCAATAACGCATTTTGCGTGTGTATAGCTGTTAATATTTTTTTCAATCTGAGTTGTCGTCTTTTCCGTATTTCTGCCTACTTTTTACTTCTAGCTGCAATCTGTGCAATTAAGTATACAATCGCGTTCTTTTTTTCTTTAAAGTTTTTAATATTTTTTTTGGTTTCAACGTTTGTATTAATATTTAACTAATAATAACTTTACCAAGAAGAAAACAGAAACAACACATTTGACAGCTGATAATCTCCTCTGGCTGTGTAAACGATTGTTGAACCACCTAAGACGAGATTATTTTCATATGTAAATGTGCTTTTACCAATAGCAATACTAGACAATAACATTGCTTTTGTCACAATTATAAGTAATTTTTCTATCTGGTGTCACAAGAAAACTTGACGTGTCGACGTGACAATCGGCTGGCCGGTCGTTAATTACGTAGCTCCAATATGGTCGCCTGCATGTAGCAGGACACAGCTGAAGAAGATACAAACAAGTTAGAACACATCCCTGCGGATTATCACAGGATCTCCCTTGATGCAGCCCTCGAACACTTCCTGGGTCTGTAAGCTTTCGTTGAAAGACTTGCACTTATCTTCAAGCAGTTTGTGTTAAGATGCTTTTGCAGAATTCTACTGCAATCTTTCTTCATCCACTCACTACTGTCATGGTGATCAAGAGTTAAGACCGAGATGATCGAGAGTTAAGACCGAACACTCTAGTAGCTGTTCGAGGATGACAGCGCCGGTATTGCTTTTTGCTCTATCTCAGTAGTGTGGTATAGTTTGTTCCAAAACAGCTGATTATATTTCATTAAATACTTACTTTAGTCTACTACTTGTCTAAAATTATTTTGTTGCAAGCAGAAAATGTATTGTTTCGCAAATTCAATGAACTTTTTAGGAAACGACGCAAAAGAAACAGCTAATTTGATGTTACCAAGTAACGAAAAATTATCAAGCTTAATTTTACACCCTATTGTAACAGAATTCGATATTATGAGTGATAAAAATTCATTCGAACAATAAAATAAAATGTATCATTCTAAGATATAAGTAAAGAGAATTATTTTTTAAATTAAGGAATAAAGTTTTAGAAATTACCATGTTATATTATATTATACCTATAGTTTTAGGTCTAGTTCTCAAATATAGTCTGTTTACTTCTTAAATCAATAATTTGTAGAATATCCAATACCTGCATAATATGTAAAATACAATAAATATATTTCTCCCCCAATTCAATTAGAAATTTATTTAAATTTATAGGATGTTGATCATTATACCAGTTAAATACAGGTAAATAATATTAATTAGTTAAACTTTCGTATATATTCTATAAAAGTGAATAAATAAATAATTTCATGCCTGTATGATCCTAGATTTACAGATCCTACATTTATTAAATACATTGATTTTATACTTAATTTACAATGACAGAGGTTGGCAAAAATCCCCCACTGAACCCGCCCCGAGGTGCCGATTGGTAATAGATACCACAGATTCACGACACAGGTGGGGACGAGCTGGTAACAGTCCGCCCCTGCCGTAGACGTGTGGAATCTAGCTAAGATCAGACTTCTTATCTGTGTGTTCAGTGTTCCTTCCTAGCACAGCATACAGATAAGGAACCTTACCATGGTCGGGGGTACAATAAAGGGCTGGATCAAGGTGTCATGCGACCCGTGCCGAGGATCAACCTGGCTGGGGCCCTTAAATAGCCCAGTCTCGAACGGAGCTTACGGATACCTGGCCCCCTCCGTAATAAGATAGCCTTACTTGCGCAACGGGGGCTATGCGCAGGCGGACATACTTTCCCCCACACTCGTGGGACCATCTATGAACCGAAACACAAATAAACAAATTCGAAACAAAAATAAAAACAAAAACCGGAGAGAGCCCGGATCTCCAGAAAAAAAGCCGGAGGGGGCTAGTTGCTCCCAAAAAAGAGCAGCGTTTGGAGCGAGCTCGGCAACAAACAACAAAAACAAGAGCGAAGCTTGGTCCAGAAGATAAGGCAAGCACTAGTAAGGGGCAGAAGCTAAAGCTGGCCCACAGAAAGTGGTACCGCCGGAGGCAGCCAGACTCAAACCCTGCAGCCGAAACACGGCTGAGAAGCAGAGGGAGGGAGGAGATGTCAAAGGGGCTGCTGATGGAAGTGCATCTGTCAGGGATTGGCCTGCATTTAGCATTCAGGACCCGGCAAAGGCAAAGTATGCGGAGAGACGACACGCCGCATATCTACTGAAGTTGGTAGAGTTAAAGCCGCCAACGAAAGAGGAGCTAACGAAGGAGCTTGAAGCATCGATTGACTGCGCGAGAGCGGTCATACCCAATTTCAAGCTGGAGCCGCCGGTAAAGGTAGCCAAGCGACAGTGCTACTAAGCAACTGGGTCCGCCACCGTTATGCACAGATGTCGGCTGGTACCAGGGCCAGATCAAATGATTGCTTGCGACGACGAGAGATCGGTCGCTCTATACAAAGCTGCTATAGCCAAGGTGGGAGAGGTATATCCCGGGGCAAAATTGGAAGCAGTGGATAAAAAGGACATACCATCCAGACCAAGGGCAAGGATATGGATCCCGGCTAAACCATCACAGCCGGAGCCTACCCACGGAAGGGTGGAAGTACGTCAAGACATTTGAGGACAGTGTAGCAGAATCTGGCGTGGAGACCAAAAGGGCCACGATGCAGATTCTGCTGTTATTAACGAAAGATTCCATCGAACCGCTGGCGAAAAGTGGCGGGGAGATAAATTACGGGTTCACGAAAGTAGGGATAACGCTATGGAGTCCTCGAGCGACGCGGAAGGTATAGAGCAAGGTGAGTGCTCTTCTTCCGGGTCTGAGCTTGCTGCCAGACTCTCAAGCTTGTATACTGAGAGAGCGCTTTTAAGCGACTCTCAGGAAGACGCAGATATAACAATAGTTAACGGGTCTTCTACAAATTAATCTTCATCATAGCAAACTAGCTTCAGCAGCCGTAATTAACCGCGTGGCAATGGAACAGCCTGAATTTGTCCTCATTCGGGAGTCATGGGTTAATGGAGGGCGTATTTGCGGACTAAGGACGCCGAACTATAAGTTATTTATGGCTAATTGTAAAGGTAAAATCAGAGCCTGCATAATGGCAAAGAAAAACCTTAATGTTTTTATATTACATAATTACAGCAACAACGACACAGCAGCAGTAAGCTGGGAAACGGGCACAAGCAGTTACCAGCTGGTGTCTTCCTATATGCCATACGAGCAAGAGCTGATGCCACCTCTGATGGTAAAAGAGGTGGTACGGGATAGCGAGGCATCCAAGTGCATGACGATACTTGGATGCGACTCAAACGCGCATCACACAATCTGGGGCAGCACAGATGTCAATGACTGAGGTGAGTGTCTCTTTAATTACCTACTAGGCACTAAGTTACTGGTGTGTTATAAGGGAGCACGCCAACATTTATTACAAGAAACCGACAAGAAGTGCTGCTATCACACTTGTGTCGGAAGAACTATTTGCAGGGTAACCTAATGGAGGGTTCTCGAAGAACATTCTTTTTCGGATCACCGATATATTGAATGTACAATATATCATATATCATCAATCATAGGAAAACGAACTGGCAGGTGCACATGCAAGAGCTGGAAAAACATATCCCTATGATTCTACCGTT